TAAAAAAAAAAAAAAAAAAAAAAAATCACTGTGAAGAATTCATAAAATGGCATTGAATCATATGGCTCATGTGCATTTGACATTAAAAAAACCATTAATAATTATACCAAAGTGACTATATCACCTCATAGTCAATATATTCATCGTTAGTTTCTCTAGGTATATTTAAGTAAGCTTAAAAAACTGAGTCAAAACTAAGCAATGATTGTTAGGAGTACTGATTTACAACCCTAGAGAAAAATAATTTTTTTTCCAAATGCCAGTTCTAATAATAAATTCTGATAAACGCACTTTCATTCTGAATATTATAGACTGTACTCAAGACCTGTAATTTCTATGAGCACATTGACAGGTATATTCCATTACCCTTCCAGCCATGTAAGCAAGGGCATCTTTTAAAGAAAAATGCTGTCTTTTAGTGTTCAAAGGATAAGAATAATATATTAAATGGCTTCTCTAGTTTTTTTTTTTTTTTCACCTGAGTCTGCTTGCTAGGAAAGACTTCTCTATGTTTAACTTACCAATGAAAAAGGATGAAGAGATTCTAGTTTGAAGAGGCTTAGATGAACAAGATCAAATTTTAACCTAAAATTCCTGAAAGGAAACAGAATGCATTCCTATTTCTCCCCCATAAAATTCACTGAATATAAAAATTATGTTTCTCCTTAAACATGGTCAGTCTTGCCTTGAATTCAATCAATATACAGAATAAGAAAGTAACTATGAAAGCCCATATGTTACCTTCTTGCTTCGTGTCAGTGAGTGGGTAATAAATGGTATGCATGAAATAGAACATAAGAGTGAATAACATAAAGCTGTGAATTTTGTTTCAGTATAGATTTCTATAAAAAATTAACAAGAAGGCAGGGCATGGTGGCTCACATCTGTAATCCCAGCACTTTGGGAGGCCAAGGCAGGTGGATCACAAGGTCAGGAGTTCAAGACCAATCTGGCCAACATGGTGAAACCCTGTCTCTACTAAAAATGCAAAAATTAGCTGGGCTTGCTGGCAGGAGCCTGTAATCCCAGCTACTCAGAGGCTGACTCAGGATAACTGCTTGAACCTGGGAGGCAGAAGTTGCAGTGAGCGGAGTTCGCACCATTGCATTCCAGCCTTGGGGGCAAGAGTGAGACTTCATCTCAAAAAAAAAAAAAAAAAAAAAAAGGAGGAAAGATACTGAGTGAATCTAAGATGGTATTGCTGTATGTGAAAGTCATCCATCCATACTCCATCCACCCATCCACCCATCCATCCATCCATCCACCCACCCAGCCACCCACCAACTCTGGCCAACCAACCAACTGACCCAACCCACCAACCAACTTTATTGAGCCTGAATAGTACAAAGGACTAGACATACAAAGATAAATAAGATATCACAGGCCAGGTGCAGTAATCCCAGCATTTTGGGAGGCCAAGGCAGGCAGATTGCTTGAGCCTAGGAGATTGAGACCAGTCTGGCAACATGGTAAAACCTTGTATCTACAAAAAGAAAAATGTATGTGTACAAAAATTAGCTGAGTGTGGCAGTCTGTGCCTGTAGTCATAGCTACTTGGGAGGCTGTGGCAGGAGAATCACTTGAGCCCAGGAGGTGGAGGTTGCGGCAGTGAGCCAAGATTGCATTGCACTCCAGCCTGGTCAAAGGGAATGAAATCCTGTCTCAAAAAAAAAAAAGATACCACCTCCATTCTCAAAAAACTCAGTCTAATATGAGAAAGGGACTTTGAAAGTTCAGTTCAGTTTATTAGAGTGTCAAGTAGATTTAAAACTATTGCACTTATCATTCTGGTGACAGAAGGCCAAAATTTAAGATGGAGATTTTCCTCTAATAAAGATAGGCTTTCAAAATCTTCAATATAAGATGTTAAAGTTATAAAGGCAAAGATATATACCTCATGTCCCATACCATACCCTTCTTGCTATTGTACAGTTGGCTGCAAATAAGAATTTGGATAATGCTTTAAATCACTGACTTCTCATGAAATTACTTTTGCGTGAAATTTGACAAGAATTTTCTTTATACTCTCTTCTTTATCAAAACATGTTATAAGTCTCCAAAGTCCAAAATAATATGTACCCATAGAATGGGGAGAGAACTTCAGTCAAAGACAAAGTAAATACTACCTTCCTTGCATAACTCCAGGTGGTATTCATGTAAAAGTGTAGCCATTGGTTGCCTAACTTTTTGGACAATGGGAAAAAAAGCAATAAAAGCTAAAACGTGGTCCAGCATATGAAACTCTTCTCAAAAATAGAAGAAAGTCATGAACATTGTTGGGAAAGTGTTTTACATTTCCAATGAAATTCGATTCCATTGATCTGTTTGGAAGATTGTCTTCAACCTATTTGACTCTAGCCCATAAACTGTAATTGATTGAGTAATGTAAAGAGCCACTTCTTTATCTTAAGCTTAGAATTTATAAGAATGGAAAGCAGGAAAGTGGTTTTTCATTTACTCTAATAATTGTGCAGGAATGAGCTAGGGAAAAAATAAAACAAAAAAAGTACCAGCCTTCTGTCTTCTTAAATTATTTTTCATTCTGATTATATTACAAAGAAATGAGCTGTGGAGGTTTGGCACTACTTTCCATCTGAACAGTCGTTCTGTATTCTAAGATTTTATATGTGATTCATAATGTACTATGATAACAAGACACAGTTTTTATGTATTACTGGAATAATGCAAAGAAAATGAATTTTCCTTTGGGTCCAGTAATTGTCAAAGGAATGATTGCAGATTCAGAAAATGTGCTTTGTAATAACCTTGTTAACATAAAGTATACACTGAGGAAAGAAATAAGTATGGCACGTGTATGGAAGGATTAGTTGTATTAGCAAGGCATTTCAAGGATGGTTGTGATTCTTTAGACTAAGTAAGATACATCCAATTTTGACCCCCTTCAAATCCTTGGACAAATGGGATCACTTGGTAACATAAGGATTGTTTGGTGGGCACGGGTTGATTTTGCAATGTGCTTACAAATGATCCAACTAGTCAGTAAACTATCCTGCCTGAAAAAAGGATTTGCTCTGGTAATAAGGCTGACATCCTCAAGCTGTAAGAATTAATTCGAATATCAAAAATGAAATTTAGATTACTAATCATGTCCATGTCTAAGCATGTAGAATATCAAATGTCCTCTTTTTAAACTAAAGTAAAAAAATGAAGAAGCATGGTTAATTCACTTGTGCTGAATAAAATAGATGTCCACGCGCAACTTCTGCGTGTGAGCCTCCCCATGCTGCCATGCCACCAGAGGCTTTCCCTTTGCCTTGCTAATCCCGCTAGATGTTTTCCTTGGTAGAATCCTAGCTCATGGGTTTCCATGTGCATGTTTCTACTGTAATGAAAGCTAACTACAAAATCTAGAAGTTTTCTGCTTTCAGAAAATTCTAGTGTACTATGTACAGCTTAGATATTTCTTTTTCAGTTAAAAAAATAGTGCAAAAACATATCTGATAGTCAAGGTGATACTTCAAGTGAGTTCTTGTGCCAAGGAACACAGTCAAGCTTCTCCTCTAGCTGACTTGCAGAAACTGTATGTAATTTTTGGGAAATATTCCAGATTTTCCCATCAGTTCTCCACTCATCCAGTCATCATCTACAGATTCCAGCTCTGTTATTATATCTCCAGCCTGTAAGACAAAAGGAATTAGAATAATTACTGATTTCTGTTGAGAATAAGCATGGGCAATAGTGGTCTACCTAGGGCAGCATGAATAATCTTCTCTTTATATAACTCATTTATCTTGATTGCTGAGAGGATTAAATGACAAAGATGATCTATACCTAATGATGCTATTTGCTTGTAGGTCTCTATTCCTTAAATCTCATTCCTTTGCCATTGCCAGCCTTGCTGCACTTTGATTTTCCTGCTTATATTATTTATTGAGTACCCACTAAGTGTTAGACACTGTTCTGGGCACGATTAATATTTCCCCCTTTCTACAATGGGAAAGCAAATAAGCTGGCAGAAGAGGACAGAAAGCATGGGATTGCCAACTCATTAGGGCCATCAAGGAGGGCCTCACGGAAGGTGCCATTTAGGCAAAGACTTGGAGACGAGTGAGTCACGTGTTTTCTGCATGCCTTGTCTTATTCTGTGTACTTCACAAGAACTAACTCATGTAAACACTACCACAGTCCTAGAGATGAGCACTGTATTAACATCCTCATTTTATATATATATATAAACATATATATAAATATATATAAACATATAAATAAAAATAAATATATAAATATATATATACGTATGTATGGTTTTTTTTTTTTTTTTTTTTTTTTTTTTTATATATAAAAAAAAATAAAAAAAAATAAATATTTTTTTTTTTTTTTTTTTTTTTTTTTTTTTTTTTTTTTTTTTGAGACTTGCCCTGTGGCCCAGGCTGGAGTGCAATACTATGACCTCGGCTTACTGCAACCTCCGCCTTCTGGGTTCAAATTATTCTCCTGCCTCAGCCTCCCGAATAGCAGGGATTACAGGTGCCTGCCACCATACCCAGCTATTTTTTGTATTTTTAGTAGAGGTGAGGTTTCACCATGTTGGCCAGGCTGGGCTCGAACTCCTAACCTCATGATCCAACCACCTTGGTCGAGATATATTTTTATAGATTTCCTTATTTTAGTGGAAAAGAAGTCAAAACTCAGATAGATTATATAACTTGCCAGTGTCGCATGTCTAGTTAGTGGTAGAACCAGGATTCAAATCTAGTGTGATTCTAGAGCTTGTATTCCTAACCACTAGACTATGTGGCCGCCACATTTTACAATGGACATTTTTACTTAGAAAGGCTTTTACTATAATTGCCTTTTATCAACACCCAGAGCAATTTTGCATTCTACATTTGTTCTTGCACATAATGGCATTTCCCCTCCACCATACGGTTTATCACATTCCTCCCATGGCCCCAATATCTTTATTTTTTTTTTTTGAGACAGAGTCTTGCTCACAATCTTGGCTCACTGCAACCTCCATCTCCCCGGTTCAAATGATTCTCCTGCCATGGCCCCAATATCAAATTTGCATTTTTTCCTATCTTAACTTCACCTTGACTCAGGACACTGATTTATCTTCATCAGGTTAGTCAAAGGGGCTGTGTGTCTTATTCATGTGCAAATTAGAATTCCTTCAACAGATGAAGACATAACTATTTTGTTCTTTATGGTTTCTAAACATTTCTTAGAATCTGTGTTTAAGATGCTACGGTCCAAGATGACTCTGGCTACTGTTAAGAATATCTTTATCAGGCTAAATGGATTTATTTGTAGCCCTGATACATTACCCTCTGGAAAAAAAGGCTTGATTTAAGGCTTTTATTTATGGAAAATGGAAAGAAAACATGCTATCAGATATTAATTTACTCTGCTCTGCTAAAATCTGGAAAAATTCTGGCAATTCAAAGTTTTTGCTATAAATAAGTTACTTTTGGTTCCTAAATTACAATAATAGTTAACTGAAGTTATTTTTTTAGGTCTGGTCCAAATCTACATACCATGTCAGTTTCCTGAGGGCTAGGACTATTTTTAAAAATTAGTTTTATCTATTAATATTCTGTGGATATTGGCTGGGCGCGGTGGCTCAAGCCTGTAATCCCAGCACTTTGGGAGGCCGAGGCGGGTGGATCACGAGGTCAAGAGATCGAGACCATCCTGGTCAACATGGTGAAACCCCGTCTCTACTAAAACTACAAAACATTAGCTGGGCATGGTGGCGCGTGCCTGTAATCCCAGCTACTCAGGAGGCTGAGGCAGGAGAATTGCCTGAACCCAGGAGGCGGAGGTTGCGGTGAGCCGAGATCGCGCCATTGCACTCCAGCCTGGGTAACAAGAGCGAAACTCCGTCTCAAAAAAAAAAAAAAAAATTCTGTGGATATTTAAGAAAATATTAATGACCAACACACTGAAAGCAGTGCAGAATTTCTTAACAACAACAACAACAAAAATTCTAGAACTATCTTATGGTCAACCATTTGTAGAATGAAATGAAGATAACCTGTTTTCTGGAGGATACTATGATTTCTATTATTTATATTGACATAGTTTAAATGAAGACCAAAATAACATCTAAGAAGTCTGAATTCAGTTTCTTCACTGGCAGTAAGTTTATGTAAAGATAAAAGGAATAAATTTTGAGCCACTGACTCTCAAGGACTAAGGCAACAGTTTTATTTTTTTAAATTTTATTTTAAAGACCAAGATGTGAAAAGAAAAAAAAAAAAGGAACTGATAGAAGGTTATGAATTTTTAATTTTGCATAGCAAGGGCATAAGAAATATCTATCATTTATGGCTGGGTGCAGTGGCTCATGCCTGTAATCCCAGCTCTTTGGGAGGCTGAGTCAGGTGGATTACTTTGAGCTCAGGAGTCTGAGATCAGCCTGGGTGGGACCCAGTCTCTACAAAAACTATGAAAAATTAGCCATGCATTGGTGGTTCGAACCTGTAGTCCCAGCTACACAGGAGGCTGAGGCTGGAGAATTGTGTGAGCCTGGGAAACAGAGGCTGCACAGTGAGTCGAGATCGCACCACTGCACTAAAGCCTGGGCAACAGAGTGAGACCCTGAACAACAACAACAACAAAAGTAAATAAATAAAAGAAATATCTATTATTTGCTAATAATTTATTATTATTATTATTATTTTTGAGACAGAGTTTCACTTTTGTTGCCCAGCCTGGAGTGCAATGGCAAATCTTGGCTCACCACAACCTCTGCCTCCGGATTCAAGCGATTCTCCTGCCTCAGCGTCCTGAGTAGCTGGGAGTATAGGCATGCGCCACCATGTCCAGCTAATTTTTTGTATTTTTAGGAGACAGGGTTTCTCCATGTTGATCCGGCTGGTCTTGAACTCCCAGCCTCAGGTCATCCACCTGTCTCAGCCTCCCAAAGTACTGGGACTCCAGGCATGAAATATGACTGAAAATTTTAATCACGTTATCCCCGTTTACTCCCACAAAGGCTGCACATACCTGATTCAAGTATTGCCTTGTTTTCATTTTTTGTTATTGTTGAGATAGGGTCTTGCTATGTTGACCAGGCTAGTCTTAAATTCCTGGCCTCAAGTGATCCTCCCGCCTTGGCTTCCCAAAAGTGTTGGAATTAGAGGGGTGAGCCACTGTGCTCCGCCTTTTTCTTATCTTGTTGTAGGCAAGTGAAAGCCCTGTTTGGTTGTCCACTATTTTAAACCACATCTTGTCCAGTCATTCCTTGATATGTTAATCCTCTCCATAGCATCCTTGCCTCTGACTGAATCGTTTCAATGATAGAGAATTTACCACTGTCTGACAGAGGCTATTTTGACAGCAGTGACTACTAAAACCACCCACCTTCTTCTATCACCGTTCCCAAAGTGCTTTCCTCTGACCATGGTTCAGTTGTAGATTAGGGAAATAGAATCATGAAAATTTTCTTTTACTTTAGGAAAAAATTAGGCATTTCTTCAGTGGAAAAAAAAAATCGCAAAGTAGCTCAACCTTTTGGGACTATTTCCCCAAAGCTGTGTTCAGTGCTTTTGTGGACAAGAATTCAGTGTCTTACAAGGCTACTGTGCTACTAGTGTAAATTGTAACAGATGCTATCTGATTCTCCATCAATTTCAAGGACATGTCAATGGCAGGCTGGGAGGGCCATGTAAATGGACATTTGTTACCAGGGCTACTAATAAAAATCCCAATATTACTGAGATCTGATGATGTAAGACCAAGGAACTAGGGATTACTTTGGGGATGTATGGGGTTGTTAAGCCAAGGTTTTCTCTAAGTACCTTAATGCCCGGTTGATAATGTAAATTAACAGGCCTATTTGCACTATTCACTTTCTATAATCTCTTCCCTTTGAATTAGGGTCTGAGATCTCTTCATTCTTGAGCAATGATCAATATTCCACTCAAATGTTCCATCCTTCAGTAGAAGACATTTCAAAAATTATAGTGCTTAATGCAGTTATGAAGAGATACACATTCTGACCTTGAAGGAAAGCTCATCTTCATTTTCCCCTTGGAAATCATATAAGGCTTTCGCCTTCCTCCCCTTCAGTATGATGGCCGATGTACTTTTTGCCTCAGCTGTGAAGACATCAAAAATTCAAATACACAGAAACACAGCGGACTAAAACACAAATCTAACATTTAAAAAAAAACCCTTGTCACTCTAAAAAGAGAATATTTTCTCTTCAGAGGTAGCGATATTAGGCAAAGAAAAACTTTTTATTTTTTATTTTATTTTGAGATGCAGTCTCGCTCTGTAGCCCAGAATGGAGTGCAGTGGCATGATCTCGACTCACTGCAATCTCTGCCTCCCAGGTCCCAGTTCAAGCAATTCTCCTGCCTCAGCCTCCTGAGTAGCTGGGATTACAGGCATACACCACCATGTCCAGCTAATTTTTGTATTTTTAATAGAGACAGGGTTTCACCATGTTGCCAGGCTGGTCTTGAACTCCTGACCTCATGATCCACCCACCTTGGCCTCCCAAAGTGCTGGGATTACAGGCACGAGCCACCGTGCCCGACCAAGAAAAGCTTTTTAAAAAGAAGAATATTTTCAATTAATTTTGAACTTACGTAACTTTCAAAAAAATGAACAATGTTCTCTTAGCAGGGAAAAATTACATAAACTATATTTATTAAATGGAATTAGCCATTATTTAGTGAAGACATTTATATCTTTTTTTTCTATAACTCTAACAAAGTATATAAATGAAGTTTGTGTAACTTCATGAATCAACCCTTTCAAACATAGACAGACAAACTGAGTATGGCTGGAGGGGAAAGGAATGTATACAGTTTTGAGGGTCTCGGGCCCCGTGAGGAGTAGCAGTCATGCCTTGCAGTTGTCATACCTGGGCAGGGCCTCACAAACACTGTTGGGAAGATCCCCTCCCTGTCCTGCAGTCTGCCCCTGCACCAGTCAGAATCCACACGTTCCAGAATCTGGATCCGGTCTCCCCTCTTGAAGGATAAGTCGTCACTGGTCTCTGCTGTAAAACTGTGAAGAGCTTCACACCATTCTGCAGAAAGACTGTTAACCTGTCATCAATCAGAAGTGTGGTCAGAAATGTAAGATTTTATTTAAAATCGAGTTCTACAAAGCCTAAAAAGAAGTGGAAAAAAAAAAAAAACAAAAAACGAAGGGGTCCTAAGATTTCACAGCCTGAAGTCTTCTTTAAATTTTCTAATACTTATGTTGCTATCAAGTTTCAGAAAGAAAAGTTTCCAATAATTTTTCTTAAATTATAATCCTAAATGACAAGCATGATAGAATTTGTGGCTTTTCTGCTTTTAAGAGATGTACAATGCTTAAGCAAACACTGTTTTCCTTTTCTTTTCTTTTTTTGAGACAAGTTCTTAGTCACCCAGGCTGGAGTACAGTGGCAGAATCAGAGCTCACTGCAGCCTTGACTTTCTGGGTTCAGGTGATCCTCTCTCCTCAACCTTCTGAGTGGCTGGAACTACAGGTGCAGCCACCACACCTGGCGATTTAATTTAATTTAATTTTTGTAGAGATGAGGTCTTACTATGTTGCCCAGGCTGGTCTTGACCTCTTGGGCTCAAGCAATCCTCCCACCCTCCCAAAGTGCTGGGATTATAGGCAGGATCCACCTCACCCAGCCAAAAAAAAGTTTTTCTTAATATGACCTATTATATTAGTTACATTAAATAGGTAAAAGCATAAAATATTTATGCATAGTATTTGACACTATGAAAAAATTCTGACAAAGTATCTAATTTTCACTGAAGTTCTTCTTTATTTAAATTAGGAAGGATCAGAATGGGTAGTCTATTAATTTCCAGGTCTCTACTTGATTCATAGACTATTAGATTCCATAGCATAGGACTTCAAATTCACACTTTTTTTTTTTTTTTTTGAGACAGTCTCGCTCTGTCGCCAGACTGGAGTGGCAATGGCACGATCTCAGTTCACTGCAACCTCCACCTCCCAGGTTCAAGTGATTCTCTTGCCTCAGCCTCCAGAGTAGCTGGGACTATAGGCATGTGCCAACACACCTGGCTAATTTTTGTATTTTTAGTAGATATGGGTTTTTACCATATTGGCCAGGCTGGTCTCAAATTCCTGACCTAACGTGATCCGTCCACCTCAGCCTCCCAAAGTGCTGGGATTAGAGGTGTGAGCCACCATGCCCAGCCTCACACTGTTAATTTTATGAGGTATAGTTAATTCTGAGATTGGCAGGATAATACCCAGATGTGGTGGGCTAGTGTAAGAACACTTTTATCCCAGGCACATTAGAGGAAGGTTTTGCTCTGTGAAGAGGCAGCTCTGCCAAGTTGGGATTGGAACCCTATGTTCAAGAGGCTCAAGCAGGTAGTAGAGGATAATGAAAAGGACAAAGACTTTTTTTTCCCCCCTGAGATGGAGTCTCGCTCTATCGCCCAGGCTTAAGGGCAATGGTGCAATTTTGGCTCAATGCAACCTCTACCTCCCAGGTTCGAGTGATTCTCCTGCCTCAGCCTTCCGATTAGCTGGGACTACAGGTGTGCACCACCACTCCAGCTAATTTTTGTATTTTTAGTAGAGATGGGCTTTCACCATGTAGGCCAGGCTGGTCTTGAGCTCCTGGCCTGAAGCGATCCACCTGCCTCAGCCTCCTAAGGTACTGGGATTACAGGTGTGAGCCACTGTGCCTGGGCAGGACAAAGGCTTTGGAGTTAGACAGGCAAGGGTTCCAGACCCAGTTCTGCCACTCCTTAGCTATGTGACACTGGGCAAGACCCTTCTCTTATCTGAGGCTCAGCTTTATCTTACGGTTACTAAGAGGATTAAATGAGACAATGCATGTGTAACATTTAGCCCAGTGCCTGGCATATCTTAAGTCCTCAATAACTGAGGGCTTACAAAACAAAAAACAAAAAGCAATTAAACAACGCTAACCTTGCCTTCTTGCTCCTGCACTTGAGTAACTATCCCTAAAGGATGGAACTTATCATTCCCCCAAAATGCAGGCAACAACCATGTGAACATTTCCTTTTGGAGAACTATAGTCAGTTTCTTTCCTGTTTCACTTTATCAGTAGGTAGGAATGAAAGAATTAGAAACAAAAGAATTAAGAGACACACAGGCCAATTACAAGTGACATTTTCACAAACACAACAATCCCATCAGGCTTAAATCTTTTAAATTTGTCACAGAAAACAATGGAAGGCCGGATGTCATAGATCATCCCTGTAATCCTAGCACCTTGGGAGGCTGAGACAGGTTGATTGCTTGAGCCCAGGAGTTTGAGACCAGCCTGGGCAAGTGAGATCCTGTCTACAAAAACTACAAAAATTAGCTAGGAGTAGTGGTGTGTGCCTGTCATCCCAGTTAAGTGGGAGGCTAAGGGGGATTGTTTGAGCCTGGGAAGCAGAGGTTGCAGTGAGCTGAGACCTTGCCACTGCACTCAGCCTGGGCATCAGAGTGAGACCCTGTCTCAAAAAAGCAAAGAACAAAAACCTAAAAAACAACAGAAGGCACCACATTCCTAGTACTTTTAAGCACTTCTATGTTATACAGTGTAAAATTTTTAACCCACTGTTTTTCTCTTTCTCATTATACAAATAAAATAAATGTTCCTAAATATTTGGAAAGTTGAGAAATGTATAAAGAAGTGGGGGTGGCTGGGCTTGGTGTCTCACGCCTGTAATCCCAGCACCTGGGGAGGCCGAGGCAGGTGGATTACGATGTCAAGAGATTGAGATCATCCTGGCCAACATGGTGAAACCCCATCTCTACCAAAAATAAAAAAATTAGCTGGGCATGGTGGCACTACTGGGCATAGTCCCAGCTACTCAGGAGGCTGAGGCAGGAGAATCACTTGTACCTGGGAGGCAGAGGTTGCAGTGAGCAGAGATCACATCATTGCACTCCATCCTGGGCAACAAGAGTGAAACTCTGTTTCAAAAAAAAAAAAAAAAAAAAAAAAAAAAAAAAAAAAAAAAAAAAAAAAAAGTAGAGGGAAGAAAACCTACCCATGTATGTAATCTTACTACTTACATGCAATTTAATACTAATAACTTGAATAATTTTCTTCCAGTCTTTTTATGCTCTATGTTTGATTTTATATCGCCTTTCCCTGTAATATGTTTCCTCTTATGACATTTTAAATTATTATTTTATTTAGGCTGGGCATGGTGGCTCATGCCTGTAATCCCAGCACTTTGGGAGGCCGAGGCAGGCAGATCACAAGGTCAGGAGTTTGAGACCATCCTGGC